AGTTCCTCCAGAGGTCCTCCAGAGGTCCTCAGAGTTCCTCCAAAGAGGAGGACAGATACCTGTACTCCTCCTGGGTCTCTGCCACAGCGTCCACCAGGATCTGGAGACGGTCCCATCTCATGTGGCTGCACTCTTTGTGGAAGTCGAAGGGGATGTAGCTGCAGATAAGAGAGCAGAACAGCCCCAAATCAGACACAGGGAGGGACACACCCGCCCGATACTCAGGAAAATATTCGATACCATTTTCGATACCACAAGGATAAAACTAAAGACCCCAAAATTTAACTGAATTTTGACAGGTTAGTGTCTTTGGTCTCAAACTGACCTGTTACTGATGTTATCATGACCCTAACCCTGACTCTAACCCTAACCTTAACCCTCTATTCTTCATAATTGTGAGAAATAAATATTTTTTGGTTAAACTTCTTTGAACTTATTGTACAAACCTATTTAACATCCACTATTTTAACATAATATTATGTATAGAGTTTAATTTAGTGTTTACAAGATTGATTTCACTATCTTTAAAATAATGTTTATATTGCCATGAAGCAATTAGGATTTTCATGCCTGGGATCTTCCTATTGGTGACCTAATCAAAATGGCCGACTTGGATGTGGGGGGAGTTGGATATCCATCCTTGGCTTCCTGCAGACTTGATTAATTTTGGCGTGTTATTGTTAGCCATTAGTCGCAGCTAGCAATTTAATGCTAACGTCATGTTAATGATCATAAACAACGTAAATAAATAAATAAATAAATCAGAGAGAAGGGGGAGGGGAATCGATACTTTTGAAAAGGAGTATCGTATCCGGATAAAACGCTTTAGTATCTATACTTTTTGGAGTATCGATACTTTTGACAGCCCTAGATGGAAGACTCCTGAATGACACCACATCCATGCTAACTGCACTCCACTTACTTGAGCATATTGTTGCTCATGCCAGAAACCATCTTGGCAAAGGCCTGTTCCAGAGGTTTCTCGGAGCCCTTCTGGTTGACCTGGAGAAGGGAGAAGCCCACAAACTGTCAGTGTGCCTCTCAGAGCTGGTTCTTAGTTTACTGTGCTGCAGAAGGCCGTCCTCACCAGGTTCAGGATGGTTTGCTTCCCATAGATGAGGAGCTGGGAGTCAAAGTGCCGCTGGAAGCCATCCATCTGTGAAAAGCTTTCGAAAGGTTACTTCCACAATTTTAAAGGAGACATATTATACCCTATTTCAACAAGTTAAGCTAGTTCCCTGGTGTCCTAATGTAATGTCCGTGACAAGCTTTGGTCAAAATCCCATTAGGATGAAGCCCAATAGCAGTTCAGTCCCCCTGCCTAACCCTAACCCTAACCCTAACCCTAACCCAAAACAGCCCCGTTCAGAGCGCTCGTTTTGGAGTGCCTGTCTCTTTAAATGCAAATGAGACACAAGCAATCCGCCCACTTCTTCAGGGAGGTGTGCCCACGACGGTACGCTAACGCTACCATGCTAACGCTACCATGCTAACGCTACCATGCTAACGCTCACGCTACCAGGACTTCTCCACAGATAGGGGAGTAAGCTGAAGGGGGGGGGCAACATGCAGGTGAAAGGCTGGAATATTATAATGAGCTAGAGCTAATGACGTCAGAAACTACCCACTCCTGAAACCTCCTGATTTATCTCCTGGATTCAGACTGAGGCGGCCCACAAAAACATGACTGAGTCATTTTTTTTTTTCACACTTTGCCTGCTGATAGGCCCTCCACAGTCCCAAATGTACATAATCAAATGATTAAAAACTTGTTTTTGCATAATATATCCCCTTTAATGTTTCTCACAGATGAAGCAGACGGCGGCTCTTACGTGATTTATGGTTTTGCTGATCACAGGTCTGGGTTTGTACTTCAGGTTGGGCCTCTGGCTCCAGTAGAAGGGCATTGAGCCTCGTGTCTGTGGACCAAAAGAGGGAGTCAGAGGGAGCTAAGAGAGGCTCGGACGGGGGCATAAACTCAAAATGAAACGGAGGCTCAGACTCGCCTGGACAAACGAAGCCTTGGCTCCCTCGTACAAAACTATCTGCTCGGTCTCCACAAAGTTGGCGGCGTGGCCCTCGGAGTCGATGCCTCTGACATAATACCTGACGCCTGCCCGGAAGCAGCTCCTCCTGGAAATCAGGATCCACTCGAAGATCTTCCCGTTGATCCGACACGGCTTCATCACAATGACTGGACCAGGGCGGTTAGAGAGAAGCTCGTTTTATCTTAGATGGCCTCACCTCATCAGCGTTGTGCAGAAAAAAACATAAGAAAGATCTGGCCATACCTAACACAACATGCTACCCAGCTCCTGGTGGAGTCTATGGTCATCTGCCACCTTGCCTGTACGGTAAAACCTTTACAAATGATCGTGTCTGGTCTTCAATCAGCCCAAAAAATCTCCCGTCACCCCTCTGTTCACTGAACTCCACTGGTTACCTCTGGCTGCTCATATCAAATTCAAGGTCCTGATTCTAGCCTACAAAGTGCTTAAGGGTCCGGCTCCCATCTACCTGAATCCTCTTGCAAAGGCTTATGTCACAACTGGATCCCTCCGGTCATCAGTGGACTGTGGTCTAGCAGAGCCTTCACCAGCTTAAGACAATCCAGACTGTTTAATGTGTCGTTCCTAGATGGTGGAACCACCTACCAAACTACACAAGAACAGCAGAGTCCCTGTCTGTCTACAGAAACTCTTGAAGACCCCCCTCTTCAAAGAGCAGCTCCTATCCTAACCCTAACCCGTACCTCTACCCCCCCACAGCTCCTTCTGTAGTCCCTCTACCTCTATCTCTATCTCACCACTGACTCTGATCAGTGTTTCTCCTCTGTATAGCTCATTGTCATAGTGATGATAAATGTAATATTGTGTCTACTCTGTAAGTCGCTTTGGATAAAAGCGTCTGCCAAATGCATAAACATAAAAACAAGAAATGAGCAGTTCTCTGAGCAGGATACATCCGTGAATGACAGGTAGAGCAAACCTGTGGAGCTACAGAGGAGGAGAGGCACTCGGGTTAGAAGCTGTGGGCAGAAACATAAAGAGCCAGAATGTGGCTACAGGGGGAGTCCAGCTACCTCTGGCTGGCCGGCCAGCTCCCTCAGGAGGTTCCCGTTCCACACAAACCGCTGGTCTGCCTGGAAACCACAAGTCTGCCGTCAGAAAAACATCAACGCTTCTGCTTCCACAGACTAAATCTAATAAATGACGATTATGAAGCCTCCCCATACTCAAACTGAAGGCACTTTTGGCTATAATCAAGTTCTAAACCACAAAAGCATCTGGTCCAACCTGAAACTGAAACCGAATGACCTGATTTTAAAATATAACAGTTTAGTTTGTTTGTTTTCAGCTGTTTGTCAGAGATGGATTACTTTGGTCTGACCGAGGAGAAGAAAAGAAGGGGGCAAACTAGATCCAGGACTCATTTTGGGACTGAGAGGGACTCAAAGCTTCTGCATCATTTAAATGGAGGATAAATTAGCTGTGAATTAAGAGGGAAATTTCTGAATCGTTTCGTTTAAGATGACCTTTGAAATATGGGCTGAAAATACCAATTTTTTTATTTGAAAATCGGTCTTAAGATGCTTTCTGTTTGAATGTTGCCTTCCAAATGTAACTGCTTCCTTTAAAAATAGAGGAGAACCTGGTTGGTCCTCCTCAGACAGAGAACCTGAATCTGCTCCAGTCCCAAAGGACCTGAACCTGCTCCAGTCCCTCTCTGGGACCAGGACCAGGACCAGAACCTGCTCCAGTCCCTCTCTGGGACCAGGACCTGAACCTGCTCCAGTCCAAAGGACCAGAACCTGCTCCAGTCCCACTCTGGGACCAGGACCTGACATAAGGTGTCAGAAACAACATGGCTGCCGGCTGGGCCCTGAGGCTGGGGGCGGAGGGATGGTATCGGGGGCGGAGCCTCACCCTCTCCAGCAGGCTCATCTCCTGGAAGTCGGGGCTGGTGTTGGCCAGGCGCTGCAGCGTGTGCGTCAGGTCGAAGTCGGTGCAGAAGTAGAAGCCGTCGGTGGTCAGCACGCTGTGGATCATCGACAGGAACGTCTTGTTCTCCTGAGACTGGAGGAGGGAAAGGAGGAGTTAAAAGGACCAGGACCAGGACCTACTCCAGTCTAAAGGACCAGGACCTGCTCCAGTCTAAAGGACCAGGACCTGCTCCAGTCTAAAGGACCTGAACCTGCTCCGGTCCTAAAGGACCTGAACCTGCTCCGGTCTAAAGGACCTAAACCTGCTCCAGTCC